ACAAGGATTTATAAGAATAAAAAATATTAATTGGAGAAATATTTTTTGTGAACGTGTCGTTAGAATGTCATTATGAAAAATATAAATTATTAATGATTTTAACATCTCTGTTTAGAAAATTGTCAGCTTTCCAAATAAGTGTTACCAATACACCATTAATAATGCATAATGCATAAATTAGTACATACATATATAAGTTAATATAAACTAACAAATTTAAGAGCTTCTGGTTCTAACTTTAGACATACATATACATTTCATTATTTAATTATAAAAATTTTTGATACAAATTTCTTCGTACTTTTTTTCGTCGCTATTGGGTCAAGCAGTTATGAAGATTCGAAAATCGAATTTGTTGGTTTGTGGACGTTTTTTCATTTACAATAAGCCACAAATTATCAACATTTCCAACAAAAAAAATATTTAACAAAATTTGTTGGTCTCTATTTTCATTAACATCCTTTTCCGAAAGTGCAATATTTAAGAATTTATACCCATTTCATTGAGCACGCTTTTAACCCAAGTTTTGGTTTGTTTGTTAACATCAAAACTACATATCGACACCTAAGTGGAAGATCGACCTATCTCGGCAGCCAGTTCGAAAACTCCCTATCTCAAAAAACTGTTCTAGAACACCCTATTTCAGAATTTTGTTGAAGAACGCCCTATCTCAGAATGCGGTTCAAAAACGCCCTATCTCGGCAAATTTTCAATATATTTTCATTTGAGATAGGGCGTTCTTCAACCAAATTCTGAGTTAGGGCGTTTTTGAATTGGCTGCCGAGATAGGTCGATCTTCCAATCAGGTGTCGGTATATTAATAAAAAATGATTAAATATTGTCTGCTGTAACCTATTTTAGAAATAATTTATTTATTAGGATTTGCAATTTGAAAAAATCAGTTCCTTCCAATTTTGGGAATCAAACGGGACCCCACACAAGCAAAAATCGTTTTCTACAATCTTTATTAACCTGAAGGGCTAGACAACAAACAACCGCTATGCGAACAAAGTTATAATACCCATGTGCACAAATGCGCTCGGGTGTAATTATTTCTTAAAACATTATTCTAAATGTATGTTTTGAGCAAATTGATTTCAAAAGTTAGAAATATGTCCCATTTTTCAAAAATGTATAATAAAAAACATGTGAGTGTTTTAGCAATTTGTTTTCTGTAATTAAGGAAATGTAGAATTTTTTGAATTTTTCGAAATTACCGCTTTATGGGAGGGACCAGGTTATTGTTTAATTTTTGTATTTTCAATACGCTTCTGCCCTGCATAAAGGGAAATCCGCGTACCGAATTTTCTTCCGATATCTCAACTTTTCCTAGAGTTATCGTGTACACAAACAAACGGACAGGCAGACAGACGGAGATGGACTAATCAACTTCTCTTTTTATTCTGGGCATTTACGGTATATACATACATATGTACATAAATGTAGTATATATCTATCTCGATTTTGGTTGTTCCAAATATCCGTTACGTGAGAAAAGTTATAGTACCCTACTGCAGAAGTGCGTAGTAAATATGTTTAAATAGTACACCTTTTAATTAATAATTAATAAAAAAAATTTTACAATGCAACTCCTCAACCCCTCTTTAAAGAAAACAAGAACCCTTATAAAATTTCGTTTTGAAAGTTTTCAAATTTGAAAACTGAAGAAAAAAATTAATAGAAAAAAAATCATATAAATTTAAATAAATTTTGTTACCATCTCATAAGCTGGTAACAAAATATTGTCCCGCCCCGTGAAATATGCAATGCCAGAATTTCCACAATTCTTCATGGCTGAATTGCTGAATATATAGCATTACCAACGTTCCTAGAATCGCGGTGACATGAACAGGTAACATTTTTTGGTAATAAAATTTTCCGGTTACAAAATCTTGGGTTACGTGCAGAATATAGTTCTAAAAGTCTATAATACGAAGGGACAGATGCCGGTAATGAAATTCTTAAGTTTTTTCAAGCAAAAATTTTAAAAACTCAATTCTATTGACACTGTTTTATATTTCTATATACTGTTCACTAGTTTCGAATCTAATATATGTAAATGTATGTATCAAGATGTGTCCTTTGTGCTCGACGGTTGCGATGTTTGTTTGGACTGATTTCGCACCAGTCATTAGCCATGGGTTGATGTCAGAAAACGTCTATACATACGCGTTGAATACATACATACCCTGCAGGGAAACCGCGGACTTTATCGCCAAAAACGAACCAGTCCGATAGTAAGTAGATCCCCACCAGTTCAAAATCAGCGAAATGTGGGTCTCTTAAAAAAACTATTTTAATTCTCTTTTTTCATTAGAAATCTATATCTAAAGTGACGAATTTAGAACTGGTTCGGAATTATAGAAAAAGGGACGCAGAACGAACTAGATCTTAACTGTCGAATTTATAACTAGTTCGAAACTATCGAAAAAGGGATGCAGCGGGGGCTTGTTTACTTTACATAGATATGTGTTTGGCGGCTTTTTCGTTCAAATGCACTTTCATTCCGCACTTCGCAGATGCTATTTCATAGTTTGGTAATACAAAACAAAACTTTGTATTGACATACTAGCATCTTAGGGCCAACTGGAATGTAACAAATAACAGCGAGCACCTCTGCAAAGTCAGCTACAGCCAAAGGTATGTAAACGTACATTTCTTACAACCATTCAAACAAATTTAATTTCAAATTGAAAAAAACGTTTCTTTGAAAATAATGTAAAATCGCACACACGGAAGAACCAAAAAGATTGAAAAATCATGATACTTTTTTCTCTTTCGTCTGTCGATTTTAGAACTGGTTCGGAACTATAGAATTTAGGACTAGTTCGGAACTATCGAAAAAGGGATGCAGCGGGGGGCAATTGACACTTCCTAGGACATCGCCATGTTAAATTCGCCAGTTGTTTGTATGCAAAAGAGATTTATCGCGAACCAGTGCTGGGTCTAAACGTACTACATGCGCACCAGTTTAGAACCAGAGATTTTCCCCACAGGGCACGTATACATATATGTTTTTTTTCAATTCCAGATATGTTTAAACTTTAAAGTATAAAATATATCAACCCTGGGAAAAAAAGTATTAGTACTGAATGGTAAAAACGTGTGCATTCATTTTAAATATACAATCATGTGTGTGTGCGAATGCTTCTGTTACATTCACATTCCATACTGAATGTCAATCTACCATTCAAAAACACAACACAGTTTATTTGTTTTCAAGCATTTTAAGCCACTCAGGAATGAGGCTTTTTTTATACAAACAAACAATCAAAATTTTGAAAAGAATGTCGAGTGAATGCAGATCCTATTGATTCAATCATTTTACAGCTCTGATATGTACATATGTATGGGTAAGGGAATTATTCATGCCGAAAATGCGTGACAATGTATGGAGTATGGAGTACATAGAAGTGCCTAAGCAAACAATAAAGCGTTCACTCACCTCGATAAAGTTTGGCTTTGCCAGAAATTTGCAGTGCGCTGACCGACTCCAATTGTTGCTGTTGTTGTTGTTGCAGCTGATGTTGTTGCTGCTGATGATAGTGTGCCTGCAGATGATTATGCTGAATGTGCTGCTGCTGATGGTGGAGATGGTTTTGGCTTTGATTTTGAGTTTGATTAAGACTTTTTATTTGTGTCTGTTGTTGTTGTTGATGTTGCTGCAAACAAGCTCGATTTGTTGCATTGATCGATACACTTGGGATGGCATTGGTAGCCATGATCGAAGCAGGCGTTGCGCCAGAAGTTGTTGCTAGCGATTGTGGTTGCAGCTGCGGCTGTGGCTGTGCCTGTGCCTGTGCTTGGGTCTGGCGCTGCATCGTTTGTTGGTAGTGTTGCATATGTGGCAGCTGTGAAGAAATGTTGCCATGTGCGACATTTATCGCTATCGACTGATTGAATGTCATCCCATTTGAATTGGTCGCTGCCGTAATTGCCCCAGTATTGAGGGCCGGCGGACCATGCGTCGGGCAAAAAGTTCGAAGTTCACCGCTGGAATCGATGAACACGGGAGCTGCATCCATAAATGGCCAGGTGGCGCTGCTGTCACCCACTGCAGCCACAATCGTGGAAGCAGGGCTTGATTCCCGTTGTTGGGAAACAGTACTGTTGCTACTGCCTTTGCTTGGTGTTTCGGCCGCTGCGGCAGTCAGCGAAATCACCTGCACTGGATAGAGATGCGGTGCATGCGGTGCTTGCGGTGTGTTGCCAACCGCTACGTGCAATGCGCTGCTAGCTAGTGCAGCTGAGCCTGGCACACTATGCAAATAAATGTGTGGCACACCGCCCAATGAGTTGGCATGCTGTGTGCAATTATGCTGATGCTCTATAGATGACGTCACAAAGTTGTGTGATGGTTGTAGATTTTGCAACAGTGGCTGCGGCGGCTGCTGTTGAAAGGAATTTTTGGAGTAACTTTGTTGAGCCATGGGAGACACTTGGGGCTGCTGGTGTTGCTGCGGCTGCGGGTGCTGTTCCTGTTGCGCCTGTGAATGGTGATGGAGACTCATCCTATGCAGCATAGTGGTAGTGGTGGTCTGTTGCAGATAATGCTGCTGCTGCTGCTGCTGCTGCTTTGGTGGCTGTGGTTGATAGTAGATTGCTGTCTTTTCATGAGCGAACAGGGAGGACGCAGCCGCAGTTGTGGAAGAGGTGGTTGTCTGCTTTTTCCGTGCCGGATGAAACGATGGGGCTAGTGGCGTCAATTTCGATTTGAGCGCCTTCAAAGCCAACGTAACGGATGGTGTTGGGAGCTGTACTTTTGCAATAGGTAGTTCTTTTTTGGGTAACCGGTGTTCTGTTTTCTTAATGGACTGCATTGGATTTGAAACCGAACAAGAAGCTGTAATAGTTGCTGATATTGACTTGTTAACTCCCGATGGAATAGTATCGCTCGATCCACTCAGAGCTTGGGAGGCTTTGGTGCGGCCTTTATTATTGTTATCATCGACAATCTCGGCCATGAACGGACTTTCGATTTGTGGACCAACAATGAAATGGCCAATATTCATATTTTCCTCACAATATGTATCTTCTTCCGCAATATCTTTAACGGGCCGAGTTGATTCCAGCGGGGAGTGGGGTGTCGTTGCAGCTATGTTTTCCGTTTGTTCTTGTGCCTTCATTATCTGATAACTCTCGCCGATAAATGTCACCAACTCTCGGCACGCGAAATTCAGTTCTTTATTTTCTTCCACCACATTGTCTTCGTCAGCGCCCTCCCAAGAGCCTGTGCAATGCATTTTTCTGCTGTGCTTGCAGTAGCTGTCATGGGAACAATCGATAACATGTTCGATAATTCGAAAATTATCATAGTCGATAATGCGCTCCTGATAGGTACAATTGGCAGCTGTTTCATCGCAACCACAACCAAAATGGCTCGATGCATTGCAAGTACAATCAGCTGGTTCTAAATCGTCCAAAATATTACTACTTTGCGATTCGAACGATTGGTTTTGATTGACTGAATGTTCATTAGCCAGAGCGCTGCCAGTTACTGGCGATGGCTCATCTGCATGACCACCACCATCATTTATCGCATTCAGTGTTTGCTGCAGACAGTTGTCGCACTGGCTTAGACTATTTGATTTTGCGGAATTTTTATCGCCCACGAATCTGGAAAACTCATTACATTCATTACAATCGCGGTTCATATCGAAAACGTTTAATTCTCCATAGAACAACTGACTTTCATTTGCATTCCCGATCGCCTCGTCAGCAAACTCCTTTACGCTGTTTGTTATAGCCATTTCCTTGTTTTCGTCCGCTTCGTGAAATTCCATCAATCCATAGTCTTCACTGTCATTATTTGAAGCCAGCGCTGCCAACGCATGGTACGCATGTTCACTCTCCCCATATACATCCGTCCCCAGCTCAGTGTTGCCTGCTGTCAAGAGCTGTTCTTCGTCACTCAATGCGTCAGTCTGTGTACTATTATCGACAAGCCTAACCGCCGCCATTGTGGCGCTGGCAATCATCTCTCCACCGATTTCCAAGTTATCATCATATTTAGAAGATGCCGTCACCGTTGCAACAAGTGGCAATGGTAACCTACGAGAATGGGTGTGTGTTCCTAACTCCGGCATCATAGCAGAAGAAGCCGCGGAGGAACTGGTCCCTACGAAGCCAGGCGAAACCGAAGTCAATGTCGTGAAACTATCTTCTTCATCCACGTGTCCGGCGTTAGTGCTGCTGATGAGAAATGTGGTAATAGCAGTGGCCGCAGATTCCTGATTCAGCATGCTCTTGCGACTGACATTGGTAGTTGTTGTTGATTCCGCCGTACTTGCTACATCTACTACTCCATCCATTGACACTCCTACAACAGCTGGAGGCGAAGCAGTAATGGCGGCAATGTGGGTAGTCACACTTGCAGCTGCCATACGAGAAAAGTGAAAAGTTAGCAGCCGATTTGGAATTTTGCAATAATCGCTTCACGTTAACGGTAAGCAGCCGTGATATTGTCGCAGTCGCAGTCGGTGTCGGACAAGTGTGTGCTCGCACTTTACAACAGCTGATAATGAGCCAGTCCTATACTCCGTCCCTTTGCCAGTTGGCTTTTTTTTTATCGTTCTACCAGATGTTCACTTCAGCGCCAATTTTTTTGTTGCTCATTATTTTCGTATGCGCTCCCCTCCAAAGTAATCTTAGCGAGCGTTGACCAATTCACCAATATTTATTAGAGTTTGGTGTTGTATGCAGGTTCGTGCATGCATAGATTTAGCCGGCATCAAAACTGAAAAAAGTAAATAAACATTTTACCATTAAAGTTGATTGCATAATTACAATAAAATATCGAATCCTAACCGCCAAAAAGGGTAAGTGAGTATTTCTGCATAAAAAAGTAAAATGTTAAAAAAAAATGTCGCTTACGTGTTTTTGGGGCGGTTAGGGGTCGATATGTACTACATATACATATGTACCTATGTAAATATTGTATTCAAATTTGTTATAATAAGTATTCAGGTACTCTTGCATGTATGTATGTAGTCTTGCGTCGTCTACATACACCGAATTGTATATAAGTAAGTAACAGATTGACTGAATAGCGCTGCTATTGGACAGCTCTGCTCCTTGGTTTGCAGTTAGTAGTTTGAAAACTTCGTGTCGTATACGTAACCTAACATTCATCGGTTTGTAATAGGGATGTTGCAAATGTCATATTTTCGCGAATGTACGAATGCGAATGCGAATGCGAATGTTAGGAATAACATTAAAAAGACTTAAGACATCGTTTTTATTACTTAAAAATTTTGTAAATTATTAGAACATTGAACGAATGCTAACCTATACAGTGTTTTAATCTATGTAGTAGTCAAAGTTTTATATTTCGAAAAAAGTAATTTTGCTGCCGTTTCTCCCGCGAGGCGATTTCTTAGAGGCTCGTATATAAGGCCGGCTGCACTGAACAATTAATTGCTCACTTGGAACGCTGGCGGGTGGAGCGCTAAAATATTTGCGGGCCAGATCTATCAATTTGTCGTATTTTAATTTAGTTTTCCACCAATAGAGAGGATTTTCAACGAGATGAGCTGATCTGTTACAAAAAAAAAAATCAAGTAGATAATGAAGGAAATCGACGGATAAATAAAGAAGTAATAAGCGGTCATATGAAAATGCGCAAAGATTTTTTGTATGAAAAATAAGCGGGCAAGAATGTTAATCATACGCCATGTACACCCGAAAATATCTCGAAAACTTATCCATAGAATAAAACATTAACTCGATTTTCAGATACAGCGAGCAATTCTATATAGGAATTGGATAATGGCGTCCGTTGAACATTTTTCCTCTATACCAGTGTTATTTTTCAGTTTTCGTATTTTTAGTGCCTTGTTTTGCCTTTTTTGATATTTCTGGTGCCTTTTCCTGCCTATTTCGTTATTTTATTTTTCCTTTTCCGGCCTATTTCGTTATTTTATTTAGCCTTTTTTATAGGTCGTAAAATCCGTTCCCTGCTTAAAAGACATTTAGGAGTACTTGTTGAAGGTAGGGATTGGTAGTGGAGGGTTGAAATTCGATTTTTTCCGAATTTCGAACATTGCCCAACCATTCGATTATTCGATTCGAAATTTGGTGGTGCAAATTCGATTTAGTTCGAATTTTGTCGAATTTTCCAAAAATTTTTTGAAGTGAAACTTCTTAATCGAGTTCGGAGATATTTGCGTTGAATATTTAACACCATTTCATAAAATCTGTATCGTTCGTTCGATTTTCAAAAAGGAGGTAGGTGTCAAATGAAAGAGCTTGCCCTGTAGATGTGTAATATGGTTTTAGCTTTGGGCCATATGAATGTATGTAAGAAAATCAAAATCAAATTATTTAATAACATAAATAAATTACCCCAATATGAGTATCAAACGAAATGATGATAAACTCAAATTACACCAGTGGCGTAGCCAGTTTTGGCTTAGGAGGGACGGATGAAAAAAAAAATTTCCATCGATAACTTAAATCTGTGACACACAATGGCTAGAGGCGTCGCCTGAGTTCATTCTTTCATATATTTATGTATGTGCCAGTTTTACCGTTATATATTTTTTATCTACTCGTTTATTCCATGGGGTCTTCATGCTTTATTTAAATTTAAAAAATTAAATTACTATACCGTTTTAAAAATCTGAAAATTCACTGTGGGAAATTTTTTTTATTCTCTTTTTGTCTTCGGGTTCTCGTTTATGCCTTTATAAGTTTTGAAAAAAGGTTTTGAACGAACCATTATATCACATTCCTAGGCAAGTTTTGAAAGAATATTTTCGATACTAAATTTTATTAAAACAAAATGTTGAAATCAGCTTCGTATATAGAAACAGTGTCGTCGTTAATTAAGAAAGAGATGTTCTTAAATATCATAACTTTACGATACTATTATTATTATATTGACTCGATTTGACTATTTATTTTATTATATTTTAATTTGAATTATTTGTTTATAAAAATATATATTTTATTCCTTAACAAACACTAAATGAAAATAAGTTTAATCTTTGAACAACATTAAAAAAAATCGACAAGTTTTCGTAAAAATTTCGAACTTTCTATTTCAATTTTATCTCTTAATATTTTGCAGTTTTTTACCTCATTCAATTTTAGTCTAATAAAGTACAAATTTAAAATAGCTATGATTTACAGTTGATGTATGGCATGTTTTTGACGATGTCGGTAATTTCCTTCCATATTATCTAAGTGTGTTCGACGATTTTTTAATGAAGAAAATGAGCAACGCCTTCATCAAAAGAAAAAAAAAAAAATATTAAAAATCAACGATAAGTCGCAGCTATGTATTTTAAACTTGCGTTTTTTTTTTGTATTGATCGGGCTGCAAAACTGCTTACTCAAAATATGTATTTCTAGGAAATCCAATTAAAAAGCTTTACGAAAGTTTGTTGATTTTTTTTAATGTTGCGCAAAGATTAAACTTTGGATTTATATGGGTTTTGTTAAAGTGTAAACTGCAATTTTATAAACAAATAATAAAAATTATACAATTTTAAGATAAATGGCGAATCTATGTATGTATCATGTATAAAGTTTTGATAAGCACTTGAAATGTCAAGTTTTAGTACTGAATTCAAAGAAGATGTCTCTTTTATCCATTCATAATAACTTAAAAAAAAATTTGTTTGGTAAGAAGTGTATCTTAAAATATCTGACATTTATGTTAAAAGTGTAAAATATGTAAATGTACCTACATAAACTTTCCCGTGAATACCATCAAATCATTGGTTTTGAAGGGAATCTATGTATGCATGCACTTAGAAAATATATGAGTAAATTAAAAATTCGATACAATTTACAGTCGAAAAGTATCCCAACACTGTGGGCAGTCTGAAATAAAAAAATTATAAATCGGAAGGGTAAAATAGTATTGTGTTATTAATTCAAAAATAAAAAGTTTAATTTCACTGACGAAGGGGGGCTCTATCCCCCCCAAATCCCGCGCGCCCCCCTGGCTACGCCACTGAATTACACTGTAGGACAGCCCAAACCAGCCCGGACTTTGTTAACATTTTCTGAAAGTACACCCATCCAGTAGTAAAACACTCGGTGGATTTGCGAAAGTTAGCTCGTCTTTTTATTTCATGGCCTATTAAAAAGTTTTCATGTCTCGGCCTAAGTAGTTTTCAAAAAAATAATAAAAATAAAAATAAAATATATAATAAAATTGCATGGGAAATATTTTCGTAGAACATTTTAACCTATTAGCTCGCGCCTAAAAGGGTAAGTTTGATCCTTACTTCAATAAATCCCGCAAAAAGCAAATTTGGAAGTCGTTAGGGGACTGGTGTACTCTAGAAAATTACTCTCCAGAAAATTTTACTAGGGGTCTTCTCAGGCAAAAGCTTCGTGCTAATACAAACGTAAAAGCCTCTACAAATCTAAAATAAAAAATCAACAAAAAAAAGTAATTTTACAATTTTATTTTTTTAATTTAATAATAACAGTTCCTTCTTGGCACAGATTTTTTGTCTCGATGCATCAGATCAAAAAACGTGTATTTTTTCCTTGCATCTCCAAGACAAATGGAGTGCCACACACAGTGATGGCAAATTTAGTCAGAAACAAGAAAGTTGAAGAGTTCATTTTTTTGGAAATAAATATGAAATTAGATTTTTTCTAGAAAAATTCGATTTTATCCGAATTTTACCAACACAAAGTTCGATTTCAAAAATTCGCCATTTCGGAGCTAAAATTCGAATATCGAAGCTTCGAATATCGAATTTACCCATCCCTAGTTGAAGGTCCCTCGATGATGCTTGATATACTACTCAACCGTTAAGCGCCTGAAGCTAAAAGCCGGTTATTGTCCGCACCCTGGTGAGATAGATATTAGAGTGAACTCTCTCGCCATGTACATATTCGCTTTCGCAAATCATTCGTGTCATTTTATGCGAATCATTCGCATAACGAATGCGAATGCAAATATTCGCAACATGCCAGGTTTGTATTACTGAAGATGATGACCAAATTTATGTTACGTATACGACACGTGGTTTTCAATCTGCTAACCAAGAAGTACCGTTGTTCATTAGTATTTGAATTAGACTACTTAAGAAAGTGGAAACAAACTGTCATTTAATGTTTTGTATGCCATTTTTGTATACCCTATGAATGCGCGATACTAATTTATTAGTCAAAGTTTACATTTATGTTCATGTATTTATATTAGGGTGGTCCAAAATAAGTAAAGTCGGAATTTAATCCCCTAAAATTTTTCTATATCGAAAAAATATACCCCAATTTTTTGTTTGTTTTTGAAATCAAAAAATATTTACAGGTCGCTCAAAACGCTCAAAGTGTTGCATGTGTGTATTTTATATGAAAAAAAAACAACAACTATGAAAAAATGGTTAATTAAATAATCGGGTATTATTAATTATTGGGAATCTCCTGAAGAGAAACAGAGTTTTTCGATTGAAAAATTTTGATTTTCAAGAATTCTATACCATTTCTACGAAGTGGAAAACTTCTGAACGCTTTGTGAGCGCACAAATTCCGACCTAACTTTTTCACATGCATTCTTGACCTCCCTAATGTACAATCCACATTACATCTTACATTTTCTGTATACGTGTATATTTTGGTATTCTATTTGGCGGCCGCTGTGGTTTAGTCGTTAGCAGTGCGCGCTACCATTCTGCAGGGCCTGGGTTCAAACCCGGTTTAACTCAGCATAAAAAAAGGTTTTTTTTTTCTAATAGCGGTCGCCCCTACGCAGGTAATGGCAAGCAACCG